AGCAAATGTTTTGAGAATGACAAGGGCAATGAATGTACAAATGTGCTTTACACAATTGATGTATATATGGATTGTGATAAGAGTCGTATTAGCCCCTAATAAAACGATTTTTTAAAAAAGGAATAAGATGTCAAAAAATATATCTATTTTTCCACACCACCACAAACATTATGGTACATTTATTTTGTTAAGACAAGTTTCCAAAAAGCAAACTCTTACCTTCAACGTAAGGTCCTTCTTTGGGATGCTCACGGACTCTTAAATTGAAAGTTTTAGATGACTTCCGCCTAAGCAGATCTCTCACACGCTCATTATAAATTTCTAGATAGCTAAAATTTTAAATAGAATTAAATTCAGAAAAATCTCTTGGGGCATGAATAACAATATTAAAAGCAAAAGAAACTTATTTTATAAGTGAAACTGTGCATCCATGCTGTGATAATTATTTCATGTCATGCCCACAATAAACCAAAGGTAGCTACTATTACTATCCCCACTTCAAAGGTTAGGCAGTAGAAGTTTAGGTGGTTTAAATAACATGTACATGGCCACACCGCCCTGAGAGGTAACGCAGACATGGAAGCCCTAGACTGTCATGTTTGCTGACTGGCCACCAGATATAATTTCAAGAAGTGAGCACCACAATCATCGAAGTCACCATTTAGGTTTATAGTATGCCTGCCAACCTAAAGAAGGGCACAAACGTGATTCAGCTAAAAGTATAAAACTAGTGAATTAGACATACTAATGGAAAACTTACTTAGACATGCTTAAAAGGATAAGCTTAGTCCACGTAACATAAATACTTTACATTTCAGTTTCTTTACAAATGGGGTTATTTCAACCAATCTCCCACATCCTGGTCATGATTGTCATTAGAAACTTAAAGTGTTTTAAGCTTTATTTCCACCTATCGTAAATAAAAGATCTCTGGTGGCATAGCGGATGACATACGGAGTTGCTAACCACAAGGTCAGCAGTTACAAACCACCAAGTGCTCAGTGAGAGACAGATAGTAAGGCTTTCTGTAAACATATACATAATGAGAGGGGAATAGTACTATGTACTCATATCTATATGTTAAGAATTAAGGTTGTAGATGGACATTGGGCCTTGACTCAAGTATTCCCTTAACACAAGAACACTTTGTTATAATAATCCTGGCATTCTGTGATGCTCACCTTCCCGACACAATCGCTGAAGACAAAGACAAATGTGGTGAAGAAAGCTGATGATGCCTGGCTATCAAAGATATAGCACCTGGGGTCTTAAAGGCTTGAAGATAAACAAGCAGCCATCTAGCTCAGAAGCAACAAAGCCCACATAGAAGAAGCACACCAGCCTGAGTGATCATGAGGTGTCAATGGGATCAGGTATCAAGCATCTAAGACCCAGAATAAAAGGGGGGAGGACAAGAAATGGAGACCCAATGCCATCTGTAGACAGTTGGACATCCCCTCACAGAGGAGTCACAGGGAACAGATGTGCCAGTCAAGGTGCAGTACAGCACTGATGACACACACAACATTCCTCTAGTTCTTTGGTGCTTCCTTCCCCCCACTATCATGACCTCATTCTACCTTACAAATTGGATTAAACCAGAACATGCATACTGCTACAGATAAGAACCCAAAACACAGGGAATCCAGCATAGATAAACCCCTCAGGACCAACAATGAGAGTAGAGATACCAGGAGGATTAAGGGAGGGTGGGAAGAGAAAGGGAGAACTGATCACAAGGATCAACCTAGAACCCTTCCCAGAGGGACATATAATAGAAAAGTGGGTGAGGGGCGACTGAGAACGATGTAAGATATGGAAAAAATAATCTATAACTTATCAGGGGTTCCTGAGGGAAGGTGGGTAGGGGAGGGAGGGAGGGGGAAGAAATGAGGATTGGATATTAGAGGTTCAAGTGGAAGAGAATGCTTTGAAGATGATGATGGTGGCATATGTGCAAATGTGCTTGACACACTGGAGAAATGTACAGATTGTGATAAGAGATGTAAGAGCCCCCTAATAAAAGTATTTTTTTTAAATTTTAAAAAAGAGTACAGTCCCAGAAACTCAAAAGGGGCAGCTCTACCCTGCCCTATAGGATCTGATGAATCAGTTTTTGTTTTTATTTTCCAAACCATTTTATTAGTCTTTACTCTAGACACCATCCCATTCCATAGTTCAATCACAGGAAGCAATAATATTACACAATTGCTATCAAAATCAGTTTCAAAACATTTCTTTTTTTAACTCCTTGGTATCACATCCTTTTTAAAAAATAAATCATTTTATTGGGGCCTCTTATAACAATCTATACATCCATTGTGTCAAGCACATTTGTACATATGTTGCTATCATCCTTCCCATTATTGTTCCTGAGGAGTTAATCTGTCCTAGATTCCATGTGTCAAGAGCTCTTATCTGTATCAGTGTACATACTCTGGACTAACCAGATTTGTAAGGTAGAATTGGAGACATGATAGTAAGGGAGAGGAAGCATTAAAGAACTAAAGGAATGTTGTATGTTTCATTGGAGCTATACGGCACCCTAGCTAGCTCATCCCTTTCTTGTGACCCTTCTGTGAAGGGATGTCCAATTGTCTACAGATGGACTTTGGGTCTCTACTCTGCCCCTACTTGCTCACATCAAAATGATTGTTTGTTTGGGGTCTTCTGATGCCTGATACCTCATGATCACTCAGGCAGGTGTGCTTCTTGCATGTGGGCTTTGTTGTTTCCCAGCTAGATGGCCTCTTGTTTATCTCTTTTAATAGCCCGGCACCATCAGCTTTCTTCACCACATTTGTTTATGTACCCATTTTTGTCTTCAGCAATCATGTTGGGAAGGTGAGCATCACAGAATGCCAGGTTATTAGAAAACAGTGTTCTTGTGTGGGGAACAGAAGGATTTCTCTCAAGCTGTCTCCCCCAAAATTATGTACCAGACTTAGCCGCTTGAGAATGACTGTACACTGGGCGGTCAGTGAATGTAGGTCAGAGGTTATTCTCCTTAACATGAGCCATCTAAAGCAACCAGACTGTATAGTCTGACTCACCCTAAGTAGGGCCCAGTCCCTTCTGCTATTGTCCCCTTGAAGCAGCGCCTAAAGGCAAGCTCGGGACCACTCTATGATGACTAAGCTCATTGAGTCCAGGGTCCACCCATCTTGCCACACATGCCCCCCTATTCCCTCCACTTACTATTATGCGTTCACCCCTAGGTCATCCCCCTCCTATTGCTTGTATTGCCTATGTTACAACCCCTCCCTATGACATAGGTTGTTATCTGCTATCAGGGGGCTTGCATGCCTCCCAGGATAGTAATTGTCTGTTTTATTGTATGAGACACCAGAATGATCAAACCCGCCCAAGGGATGAATTGTACTGCCCCTCTCTGTGACGCATGATGCTGTGATGTATCCCCCTAAAGTAATATGATGCGTGGTTAGCAATAAATAAGGAGGCTCCATGGTTCTTGGGAGGAGGAGGAGGAGGAGGAGGAGGCAGCTGCTTCTACTCTGGCAGCTAAGTTCCCTCCACGAGGACCATCAAGTGGGGCTGAGGTGAGCAATGCTACCATGAATTGCGTCTGACTCCATTACTTGACTCCATCTTTTAACTCTCATGCAATGACTTTACAAAATTTCTTATTATCACTGTACAATTGCGCCTACCGGACCTGTGATGTTTTGTGGGATTCCCTCTCCCCTTTAACCCGACATTCTTGCATTGAGCAAGTACTTGAGTAGTGGTGCAATGTCCGCCTGCTACCTAATACTTAACATAGAAGTTCATGTGCATAGACCTGTATCCATATTGTTAATAAATATATTTACATATGTACATGCCTGTATTTAGACCCCTATAAATGTCCTTTGCCTCCTAGTTCTTTCCTCTATTTCCTATTACTTTCCTCCTGTCCTGCTACCATGTTCGACCTTCATTAATCTCTAAGTAATTCCCCTCGGCTACATTGCACTTGATCAAACCCCTACAGGCATTCTATGCCCTCTTCACCATTGATTTTAGATCACTTGTTGTTCCTTTGTTCCTGGGTTTGTTGGCTCCCCACTTCATATCAGCTCCTTCTTATACCCCACCCCTACCTCTCCACCGCACCCCTCAGGAAACCTTACTCTAGTTGTTGTCTCTATATGTTCATCTATCCTAGCATTTATATACTGGAAATCATAAAAAACACATAACAAAGATTCAAGAGACTACCTACAATGACAAAATACAGCAGAGATAAACCTCAATATGAGACACACACACACAAAGAATATATTAAAAACCAGATCAGGCCCAAAGTGTATCAGAGGGGAGATCAAGTGGCAAGGTTTTAAGTCAGATTTCAAGTCAGAGTTAACACTTTAATATTATGAGTCAGTATTGACTCGATGGCAGTATTAGTGGTAAGTACCATAAATACACCCAAACAACCCACTGCCAGTCAGTTGATTCCAACTCCTAAGGACTCAACACCAGGCTTCTGAGGCTGTAAATCTACAGGAGCAGACAACCTCATCTTTCTTCTGCAGAGCAGCTCATGGATTTGAACCAGTGAAACTGTAATTAGCCGTCCAACACTTAACCAACAGCATCACTGGGACCCCTTATGGGAAAGGGCAAAGTTACACTCTTTCTTTAGAAAGTTGAAGGTCTTACTAATTTCCATGCTCTAAAGGCAGAACAAACAGCCTTGGACCCAATGAAGAACACACTCAGTCATTCAGACCACGGACCTACCTGACTTCAGTTCGAAAAGATCTTTCATCCCATCTGGTGGTTTCATTTATTTGACTGAAAAGCCCTTCACATATCCGAGGTATTAAGCCAGAATCATCCTGAAACAGAAAGTAAAAATAAAAAAAAACAAAAGTAGCCAAGGGTCCTTCATGCCAACCCCAGTCCTAACTACCTTGGGCCTCTAAATATCCTATTTGCTCTTCCAGGACTCCTTCCTACTCTCTGAAAGGAGAGGATCGGACCTGATGTTTCTACAAGCTAGGGCTTTGGTAGCAGAACGTTATCAACGGTTAAGTTAAATCAAGGCACAAGGAGACGTACTCTTTCAAACAAGACTGTGTACAGCTATAGAATAAATGTCAGCTAGATGACCTAAGCAAATGACTAAAGAAGGTGAAATAATTCGCTGGGCATGATTTTCCTCAAAGGTAATACTTGTCTTGAGACGCAGGTGACAATACAGCATTACATGTGTACAATGAAACCTGTGAGAGCCAGAATTAGGAAGAAACTGCCTTGTGTTTCTGGATCGTTGTCGTTTCCCACGTTTGACAGGGTGCAGTCTTTCCATTTTTCTAGGGCTCGCTTTAGTGGAAAATATATGTACATTTCTTCTGTGGCAGGCTTCCCCCTTAAAAAGGATCTGCACAGGTTTCTGTATTGTACCCCACCATTAACGTACTAAGGAGTCTGATAGGTGGGGGTTACGCACTAGGCTACTATCCTCAAAGTAAGCAGTTTGATACTACCAGCTGCTCCAAGGGAGAAAGACGGGGCTTTCTACTCCCATGAGCAGTCAGTCTCAGAAACTCGCAGACGCCGTTCAACCCTGTCCTACAGGGCCACTAAGAGTCAGCATCAGCTTGATGGCTGGTTTTTGCTTTTTGTTTTTTATTAATGTACTAATTCCTAGATTGGCCTTACAAGACAAGAGAATTTTAATACATCATATTAGTTATACAAAGTAGGCACAATATTCACCAATATTCATAATTCACTCATTACTATTAAGCTGATTACATTTCCTTGTCAAAAAACTAGATAATCGAGTTTCAGAACCTGGATCTGATATTTTCTTCTGAAGCTACATTCCTCCCTACATACATCCAACTCAACCCTCAAAATGAAGGTAATATTATCACTGCGTTCAGAGAATTTTGTTAATTGTACTATTCATCTATAGCAGTTAGTAACCAGAATAAATAGGTCTCTCACCATATTTTTTTCTTATTTAAAAATATGTTAAAGAATACTCAAGCCGTGCTCAAGTGCATGGTCAGAGATCAGGAGAGTTCTATAAATGGACAGGGCCCTATACACTGGAATCAACTTGATAGCTGTGAGTATGGTTTTTTTGTTGTAAATGTTTAACTTTCATAAAAAGCCCCCAGGGACTCAGCAGGTAAATTTAATTTTGAAAGATAGCTTTGTTTCTCAAGACACAATCGGAAAAGTAGGAAGAGAAAAGCAGATGAGAGGTAACACAAATCTCCCGAAATGATCAGTGATTCATTCACTTATTGGTTTTCTCTCAGTTGTTCTTCTCTATTTTTCAGCATTGAGGATTCATAGCACAGCATGTATATAATTATTACATAACAGAAACGCCTCGATTTAAGAAGCAAGGCTACAAAAAGGGAATTATTGCATCTAGAAAGAGCTCTCATCCTTTAATGCACTACTTCCATGGACCACTAAACCTTCGGCATAAAGGCAATACGGTGCCCACATTCTGGCAATATCTCCACGTCTAGATCATGCCATAAGTCTGGGAAGTCACTGGACAAAGTTTTCACTGTGATACAGAATAATAAAACATAAACACTATCTGAATCTGGAGAGAGAGATAATGTCCTTCTAATAATGTCTAGTTTTTACTACTCTACATTTGGGACATGTCAAAAAACATGAATGCCTTCTCATTTATACAGCATAACTACTGTATTCTACATATATAAATGTGAAAATTATGTATGAAATATATGAAGAGGGTTCAAAAAGTTCATGGAAAAAGCCTAGTCTTTAATTCCATGCTTCCATGAACTTTTTGAAGCATTGTCATTTAACTGATTAATTTTTATGTATTTGCTCAATTTATATAGTAACTTTTCACCAAAGATTTAGATTTTATTGTATTTTTCTTGGGGGGAAATGTTTTGAATAATGTTTGAAAGAACAGAGTTCCAAAACAAATAAAAAGAACAGAGTTCCATAATTCTATATAAACTTGTTGTTGGCAGACGAGAAGAATAATTACTTGTGTGCCCCGCATACTTTGTTTATCCTATTATAAGGCCTCTAAAAATAGAAAAGGAACTGGACTGCTATCCATTATTCATGCACATAAACTTAAAAATTATTTTTAACTTTAAGCCTCCAAAAAGAAATAGAGTTCAACTTATTATCTTATTACGAAAGACTGATCAGCCCATGAAAAGCAAGTTATTACAGACCAAGTAGATAAGAGCTAATCCTGTCAGTCCACAGAGAGATAACAAGAAATGTTCTCCCCACACCGTGCAAACAACGTACAGAATTTCCCATCATAGTGTACGATTTTCCAGAGCCAGTCTGACCATACGCAAAGACGCAAGCATTATAACCTTCAAATGCAGACTTCACGACATCTGTGCCAAGGGTTTTGAAAACCTGGAAGTCAAAAAATACATACAAAAGAAACAATTACCATTGATTTTAATAAGACGTTAGCGATGTTCTTGAATGCTACTTTCACCTGAAAGCTTATAAATAAATCACTACAGGACCAATAAAATAGGTACCCCAATTTTTAATCCAAAGTAAACTTTTTGAGCAAGCAAATAGCCACGCTTTCTTATTTAAATCACCAAAATTTCCTGCAATATGAAAATACAAGTGAGGCAAAGTGGCAATTATATGTAGAAGCAAAGATGATTTTAAAGTGTGATGATTTACCATTTCAGAATCATGTGAATTCATAGACCTATTCATTCTATCAGCACTTCCAGGACTTAATATTCAAAGCCTGAAGTCAAAGCAGCCAGCTATTACTGCTTGAATCGTATCAAACCGGCATCATATTACAGAGTTTCCTCTTGATCAAAATAAACCTCACGTCCCTGGAGGTTTCATGGAGCTGAGTGATGGAGGGGTGTGGATGAGGCTGGAATGGTTGGGATCCCCCAGGTTAGGGTCTTGATACCGCTACTTATTTGTATTTTTTCCCAGAGTGAAGAGAGAAGAGAGACAATCATCTGAGGCCTGGAATCTCACCTACAATGGGCTGAGTTCAGGTCAGTTGAACAAAATAATCCAGTAAGACACTGTGGTAGTTACAAACGTTCATGTCAACTTGATAAACAGACTGAAGGGGTGGAGTTTAGTCTGCCAATCAGGTCACAGCCTGATGCCTCCTTGTGGACATGGGCTTCTCATGAGGATTCTAGGAATTTCCTCTCTTTCTCCCTGGAGGAGGGCCACACTCTATGTCTGTTTCACCTCCTATTGACAAGCCAGGAGGCAGAGACCCGTGGACACAGCCCGGTGATGCACTGGGCAAGAAGAATTTATGGACTAGTATCCAACATATGGGCTAGTATCAGACTTAAGAACTTAATCTGGACTGGGCTGGGATGTTTTCTCAAATTGCTCCTTGATACAAAGCTCTCTCTTACATACGAGTATCTCTGGATTTGTTTCTCGAATCAACCTGTCCTAACACAGACACTTTGAGGAGTAGAAAGGAAAAGAGTCACACTTCATGGAAAGGAGGTAAGTTGATTACATCCTGGTTATACCCATTTGGGAAAGGGAATAACTAAAAGTTCTCAACTCCCACAAGCCTTCACATAGAAAATCAACCGCAATTATTACGGAGACTATAGCACCAAGCACTAACCGCTGTACATTAAAATCATCTGGGAAATAAATATGTAAAAGTATTAAAACTCCCATTTAATAAAATGGAAAACTGTACTGTAAGAAAATAGTTCTGGAAATATGTATTTTCAGTCATAACAACGCACACGCTCATTCTTCCAGGGTAGCAAAGATTGTCCTATGAACGTTTCATTGGGATACTACCTGATCCATGTCACGGCCCTAATCTTACTCGTTCAGACTTCTGTTTGCTCCCAAAGTTCATAGAACATTTAAAAGGAACACATTTGAGTCTCTCACGAATGCCAAAACATGGCAGAAATCAAAGAGTACAGTATTAGCTAGTGAAGGATTAGAGAAAGAGGAATACCACTTTCTGAAGTGAATGGCCTAGATAGGATGTCCCTAAGTTTACTTAGCATGCCACCCCTTTTTCAGGAAAAAAAAATAACTCGGTGCCCTCCTGGCAATTAAAAACTATTGTACTACAGCTCATATTCCAGGCTAAAGGGAACATATCTACTTTTACAGCTCCCCTGAATCATTATAATGCCCAGTAGGGGTACAGGGAGTGGTATCATACAATTTGGAAAACACTGATCTAGATGTAATGTCTAAACACTGATATGTCAAGATGCATAGTTTCACACTTCGATATTTTTTTCAATGAAGGTTCGTTCCTATGATTATGCAAAAATACTTTTTGTCTTATCCTCATAGACCACTCTTCCTAGTTTATATTAGTCTGAAGAAAAGAAGAAAAGAAAGATTAAACTCACTGCCGAGTCAATGCTGAGTCACAGCAACACTATAGGACATGATAGAACTGGCCCTGTGAGTTCCCAAGAATGAAAGGCTCATCGGGAGTGGAAAGCCTGTCTTTCTCTCACAGCACAGCTGGTGCCATCAAACCACTCTGTCACCAGGGCTTCTGATTAGGCTGAAAGTCATTGAAACCTATCCAGCTGGGTGACCCTGTTTCGGTTTAAATACCATTGGCTGAATATGTTTAAACCAGTGAATTATATATGTGAATTATGTGTCAATGAAACTGTTACTTTTTTAAAATAGTGGTTGTTCATAAACTAGAATAATAGTTACATGACAGGGTATGGCTATTATCCTAGCACTATCGGTGTTGTATTTCAGAACAGATCTTGAAGTGGCTTTTTCGATAATGAATGTGATGCTGTTCGCCGTTCAGTTGTCATTTGCAGTAGAGTTGACCATATGATTCAAGATGGTCACTAACAGTCCATTCCAGCTCATTGATGCCCAGCTTATTGATTTTTATATGTTTCATTTCATTTTTTACAATCCCCAGTTATCCTTTGCATATTCAATGATCTGACTATTAATGAATATTTGCAGCTATGTCCCCCTTCTTTTAATCATGCCACCTCAGCAAAAGAAGGTCCCCCAAGCTCTGATCTAGCCACGTCATTAATCTGACTCTACTTGGAGAAAGCAACTTCTCCCCAGTCGTAGATCATTATTTATATATTACTGTACTATATATATGTATGGCTATAGATCTGTGGTTACTGTTACAACTATGGGTTTGCTTGTGATTTATCTGCCTTGGTGTGACTAGAGGTTGTGATGTGTCTTTGTAACTGGCGCCGTGTGCTACTACAGTTCCATTGCTGCATTTATATTTTCCTGACTTCCTGTAGCTGTTTCTGTTATTGCGTGTAAGATTCTAATTGCAACACTATACCTATGTATGATTATACCCGTGTTGTTATATCTAATGTTTCTGCATTTATCACGGACGCCAGGTGTTGCTGTAATTAAATATTAATATAATTTTGCTTTGACTCCAATAATAAAATAGTAATAACTACCATTTGTTAGGGGAAAAAAAATACCATTGGCACAGCTTCCAGGATCACAGCCACCACAATATAACAAGCTGAGATTGTGTAGGTGGTAGATTAATTTATGAATTCTCATTAGAATGCTCTCAGGTAAGTAGTATTCAAAACCCATTTTTCAGATGAGAAAGTTGAAGGGAAATAGTGAGGAACAAGATACAATAGTGAGAATCAGAATTAGAACTTAATCAGGTCTTTCTGATTCCAAAGCTTATGCCTTCTAACCTTGATCAGTGTGTTCTTCACACACCTTATCAATCAATACCCAGCCCCAAGGCTACTTGGAAGGCCCTCCCCTGGCCATCAGGAAAGGCGCCCAGGCGTCCCCAGGCCTCTAGTTTGAGGTTTAGTCTCATCATTGCCTATAAAATGTGAAAAGAAACTTTACTTTCCCAAAAAAGTAAATATTAATTTTTACCATTTCATGAAGTGCTGCTGGATAGAAAGGAAAACTTTCCGTAGACTTTTTAAAAGATTAAAAGAAGAATGTTCTCTCAGGGACTGAAACAAAGTCATGAAAACATCACTTAAGGCTTTCAAGTTGAAATTCCTCCCTGAGGTTAAAATCACACCCATCATTTTATTATTACTTGATTTCCTAGAATCATTCAGACTTTTCTGACATACAAAGGGTCTCAGAGAGGCTAGTGCTGGTGGATAGGACTATAAAACATGCCAACACATGCAGGGCCGGAGGCTTACATGCCCAGTCTTGACTTCTACCAGACCCCGAGAACCAACAAGACCTGCTCACGTCTCCAGGGTTCTTGACGGGACCACAAGCTAGGTCTTATGATAGTTACCACAAAGGGCTCAGTGAAGCACAATCTACCCAGCCAAGGTAAGAGGGTCGGACTGCTCTGGGATTCATGAACTGTTCTTCCTCATTGGCGTAACACTCCGCTGGGCTCCCTCAGGGGGCAAGGTTACCCACCTTGCTGCGTGACTGAGCATGGACTTTAAAGAGAAGTTCCAGAGTATCTTTAGTCTTGCCAAGGCCTCCTTTGAGGAGAACTATCCGCAAAAGAGCCCTGCCTAAATGCCCCACCGAGCTTGTCAACCAGGAGATTTGGGTGTCTCTAGTTATATGACATCAAAGCTTCTTTATGGCGGTTTTCAATAACTATTTTTTAAAAGTAGACCTCATTTTATAGTCTTTAATTTATCTTAGTGTAGATTTTAATTGATCGTTTCCTTTTTCTGAATTTTAAAATTAATGTAAAAAGAAGAATATAAATGATCATCAATTTTGTATCTGTTTAACATTAAGGAATCTTGACTTGGTCATAACGATAAGCATGATCTAGTTTCCTAAGATCCCTGTACATTCAAATGATCAACAAAAAGACCAGCATCATGCTGAGAACGCTGCACCTCCTGTTGATTCCAACCTCCGGTAACAGCTCACCTCCTGCTCTTAAATGTGTTCTTATACCAAAATGTAGTCAAAATTCTAAATTAAAGCTTTTTATCAGGATATCCTGAACTTAGGAATACGAGAAGATTATTTTCCCTTTACTGATTGAGTTAGTTAATTGTGCCAACCTGGCCGATAATCACATGTGGGGCTAACTGAAAGGCAGAGGGATAAATGGGTGGTGAGCCTCGCCTTTTTAGTTCTGGAGTCTCTTGATTTGTGATGGTCGCACCAGGGTGCAGCTGCCTTAGCAGTTCCCTGCTTCTGCTTGAAAGATTGACTTCCTACAAGACATCCCCAAGGAGAAGCTACATGGACCTATCCCGATGCAGCCCTGGGTGCTGGAGCAGCCGTGTAGAGACCCCTGCTAGTGCTGAGATGCTTACATGCTCACTGACTCAGCTTTCCTCCTGCAGTCAACATTATTGCCTCTGTTTTATGAGGTGGAGGACTTTGTGGACTGGTGTTGGGTTAATGGGTTAATGTTGGACTTGTGGGCTTGGGCAGCATTGGGTTGGGATGTTTTTGTGATGCACATTTTCTTTACATAAAACTCTCTCTTATACATGAGTTGCTGTGGATTTGTTTCTAAGTACCCAGACTAATACACTGATTATAAGACCTCACTGCCATGTCCACCTTATAGAGCTCTGTAGAACAAGATGGAAAGGCCCCTGTGGGTTTCCGAGACCGTAAGTCTTCACAAAAGCAGGACATCTCATCTGTTCTCCCTTAATGATTATAACTGAGTGCTGAAAATAGTCATTTTTGTGCATGATTTCTCCTAGAAATCAGTGTTCACTAACATCTCTCAGGGTTTTTCTCATTTTGTGATTTTTTTTTATTTAAGCAATCTCCTCATTTGTGTAAAACTAGGATCAAAGACCCCAACACATCCGAGAACAGATGCTGCACATTAACTGAGAACTAATGCTAAAGCATCGGTTATTTTCGTCAGTTGCAAGCTGCACACAGACTAAAACAATCTTTTTTTATTTCTAGGCACTTATTTCTAACTCCCAGAATAGCTAAATCTGTTTCTGCTTCCCTCACCCTGCCTCTAGCACTTGAAAGTGTCCAGTCTTCCCCTAAAGAACCCCCACTGGAAATGGGTTCATCCTGTCAGCAAACCTTTAGGGACCATCTCCAACATGCCAAGCGCAGCCCGCATACAACACTCTTAATTTTCATCCCCAGGCTTTTCTTCAGCACAACCCTCTGGCCTCAAAAGTCCTCAAACTCCGATTAAACAGGGGAGAGATTCAGCTGCTCATTAGGTAACTTAGAAGGGGAAACCCTCCTGATTCTTCATCCACCCTCTGCTACAGTGACTAATTTTTCCTTAATGAGACATCTTCGTATCCACAACTTTATTCCCTATTGCCATGGAAACCAAAATCTGGATTCCATTATCTATGACACTGTACTCCTTAGAAGACTTCTACCCATCAATTTTAACAAACTAGTCACCTCAAAACCAAGGGCAGCTTCATTTACTCACTCACTAATCATCATCTATGGGGCTGCCCTCTCCTCATTTAAAACAGGTCATCTATTTTTCTCTCATATCCTTAAAACTGTCCCAGACTATCCCACCACTGTATACATCAGCTTCAAGATTTCCTACTTAATAGATGTGTGAACTTGAGAAAGTTACTTAAATGAGCAACAACCAGATGTCCTGACACTGATGGGAACACAAGCAACACTGGTTACTCTTCACTCTCCCGGGTTTGCTTAAACACCACCTCCAGGAACTTCATCTCTCCGCTGCTTCCTTCCCCACTGCCCCTGTCCATGAATGCCTGATACTGGACTCAACACATCACTGCCATCAAGTCAGTGCTGACTCATAGCAACCTTATAGGACAAAACTGAACTGCCTATGAGGTTCTGAGACTGCACCTCTTCGTGGGAGTACAAAGCGCCGTTTTTCCCTCTTGGAGCCCCTGGTGGGTTTAAGGTGAACTTAAGGAATGCAGCCCAATGCATAGCCACACCACCACCAGGGCTTCCATCTCCTTTGACCATCTCCTCTATATCACTGTCTTTCTTAATGCCAACTGCGATCCTGTCTCAGGAAGCCAAACTCTTCCAAATGCCTTTTCTAAACCAACTACATAGGGCTTTTCATATGTTAAGGTGCATGCAAGTCACCTGGGGATCTTGTTATACTGCAAATTCTGATTGGGGGAGTCTAGAAGAGATCCAGAGTGTTGGTATTTCTAACCAGCTCCCAGACAATGCTGATAATGATGGTCCATGAATACATTTCAATCACAAATAACCAGACAATAATGTTATACTTTTCATGTTTAACTTCTGACAATGCCAACGCATATATCCCAGCCTGGAATAGGCAGGACAGGAATTCTCAGCTTCATTTTCACAAGTAAAAATTGGAAGCAATGCAACCTCCAAAGCCACACGGAAGGTGTTACAATGCCAAGAGGATCATAAGGATGGAACTAGTATTCCACCCCCAGCATAAGGGCTCCTTATAACAAATCCCACCCTGCTCAAATACTTATCCTTCTGCTCACATGAAATGTCAACTTCGTTATCTCAATGGACCCCTGGCCAGACTTTGTATCTGTTATTATCTGTCACGTTACATCTATATGTTAGACCATAAAAGCCAAAAGGGCAGGTTTCCTTTAAAATTTTCAGCTTAATTATAGGTTGAGGGGCATTTTTGAGACTCCACTATCAGGGTCAACTAGAGGCTTGGAGGAACTACGACTGACATCTGAATGACCTATTCCAAATCACTTCACCTGATCCATTCCATCAGTCATGCTAAGGACAATGAGAGGTCTGAATGACCCATTCCATTATCCATTCCAGAGGTCATGTCCAGATAACCCATAGATTAACACCACATGATATGATAATGAAGTACACAAGCCGTGGACAATGAGACCAACCAGTACAAGGACCAATCAGGTTGCAATGTTTCCAGTGAGAAAACAGGCTAGGCACTTGATGTGAGGCAATAGGATCCCATCACCCGATCTCCATAAGACCTGATGTAATGCCCCTAGACCAGCCTCTTCCTCAAACCGCAGAGGGACCCGCTTCATGATTGAAGCCAACTCCGCTTCCTGTCCAGCTGCACTGTCTCTTCTTTCAACCTTACGCGTGTGGTTCCCTTTCTTGTGGTAACAAACCTGTCGAGAAGGACTTGTCGGCACTTCCCCGGGAAAAACCGCAGTGACATGAACTGTTACCACATAACACCAACACACGAGGAGAATGTGACTGGGTTTTAGGATGACCTCCCTGGTGATGCTGTAGGTTAGTCTTGAACTGCTAACCATCAGTTTGGGGGTTCATACCCACCAACTGCTATGTCGGCCCATCTTGTCGAGGATCTTTGTCAATGTCCCTCTACCAAGTACAATGTCCTTTCCAGGGACTCTGCTAAGACCATGTCCAAAGGACGTGAGACCAAGTCTGACCATCTTTGGTTCTAAGGAGCATCTGGATGCACTTCTTCCGAGGCAAGTCTGTTTGTTCTCCTTGCAGTCAAGATTTTTGGCCAGCAAATGTATCCATTCTTCTTCAGTCTTGGCCAACACCATAACGCAAATGTATCCATTCTTCTTCA